TTCTGTCATTAATTACTCACCCTCATGTCGTTCCAAACCCGTAAGACCTTCGTTTATCTTCGGAACACAAATTAAGATGTGCCACACGGATACGTTTTCTATGTTGTTTGTGCTTTGATTTGAAAGAAAACAACATATTCGTGTGGTGCGGCTGACACAGAACAACATACGCTGTTTGCGTTCAGTGGATACTCTCCAAACTGGCGCTAGAGGGTGACACGGAGGAGACAAATTGTTGAATAAAGTCTTTTTTTTTTTTTTCTTTTGCGCACAAAAAGTATTCTCGTAGCTTCGTAAAATGACGGTTGAACCCCTGATGTCACATGGATTATTTTACCGATCTCCTTGCTACGTTTCTGGATGTTGATCGTGTAAGGACCCTTGCTGTCTATGGGAGGGTCAGAGAGCTCTCAGATTCCATCAAAAATATCTTAATTTGTGTTCCGAAGATGAACGGAGGTCTTACGGGTTTGGAACGACATGAGGGTAAGTAATTAATGACAGAATTTTTGGGTGAACTATCCCTTTAATTCTTTGTGACACTGATTCAACAAGGTGCTATTCGAACATTCCTCAGAGATTTGGTCTATATTGATACAATTAAATCATGCTGTTACTGCAGATTTATAGGATACACATCGATAATGCAGATCTCCCGTTCCACCAAATCCCAAAGGTTTCGTTTTCATAGGGGGGCACACTTTTTTATGATCTCAGAAACAAACATTCACCAAAACAATAACAACCTGTATTATAACTTAAATTGATCAAGTTCTAGATTACAACAGATTTAAAAAGATAGTTCAACCAACAACATGCTATAGCATGTTTTTGCAGCTTTTAGCAATGTAGCCAAACATCTGACAACTTTTGTGTTATGTTATATTATTTGACTTTTATGTATTTATGTTAGAATCCAGTCACAGCTCAAATCGCCAAGTTTTGTTCTGCACGCTCGCAAATCGTCTCTTTATTACAAAGTGTAGACACTATGTAAATAAGAGATTCACTGCGCCGTGTCGAGAGATTTGTTGATTATAACTTTACTTTGTGAGATCGCGATGAACTAAGATGGGTGACAGCTTTTTAATTATTATAAAGGGAGCTTTCTATGCCATATATAATCCTTTCAGAATTTGAATTGTTTTTCATGCTGCTAAGAGAACCAAATGCCACGTACACTCTACAAAGTTTTCAGAGTGACATTCGCAAATGAAAGATTTACTCTCGAAATTGCAATAAGTAGGCCTAATAACCATCACAATGGATCGGACAAAAAATTTGTCAAAATACTCGCAAGGACATGACTCGCAATTAAAGCTTTTCAATTTCCAACAACACAATAATAATAAAACAATACATATAGCAATAAAAAATAGGTAATATAACATTAGCCGTTACATTAACATTAACATTACTTTAACATCATTAAAGTAGTTGAAAGTGGCCTTTGAGGGCCTTTGAGTGAAATATCCTGAGAGCTTTATATTTCACTCATTAAAACACTTAGCCTACATGATAAACTTGTTGCAGTCACAGCCAAAATTTGATTTAAGATCGCATGCGCAGCTGAGCAAATTTAAGGGAGATTTCTTTTAAGGAATCACGTAGGCTATGTTATAAACTTAAGACACTGTCTTATATGATTTATCTATACAACATGCTACACTATGCTACGCTAAATGTATTTTCTGCTATCTGTAGGCCTATAACCATGAATTTGAATTTTACAAATGGGAATGCAACGAATTTATGACAATGTTTTATACATTCAGGCTACCCAAGTTATAGTGAAAAGTTATTTAAAAGCATCTGTAATGCAATAAAGTAATTTGCAAAGTTTTTTCGAGCTATTTTTAAAATTTTGATACATGGATTAAAAAAATCTGCTATAGGCCTACACACATATCAGACAAAATTGCATTGAGAGGAAAAAAAACAGAAGTTGTCAACAAATCCTTTTAAATTTTATGGTATTCAGAACAAAGGAACTTACAAATCAGGAAATAGAGCCTAAGCCGCTATAAAACTATATTACAAATTGATAAATAAAAATCATAAAAAAACCCCGAATGGAAATCATTATAAAGAACATATAAAAGTCTAGCCAAGACGAATGTATTTAAAGAGAAACTGAAACGCACCAAACATCTTTCATTCTGCACGAATACAAATGTTTCCCACGAGAGGCTCCGGTGCGATTGCTTGTTTTTTTTCCTTATAACAGCGGAAACGACTTCAAATACTCTGTCATTTTTGGTCATACAGATACAAAAAAGACATTGTTCGGAACTGTAAAGGAGCCACTTTCATATGTGTACACTCACAATAAAAACAAAACATTGTGATTTTGTAAAATAAAGAAAACATAGTGTGCGCTTTCAGCTTTCAGTTTCCTTGAACTTAGCGTGGTCACAAAAATGAAACAGTTTTTTATTTGGTTTTGTTAATATGTGAATTATTTAAGTGAAATATATTTAGTTTAGGACTATTTATTTTATTCCTTTTATATAGGCCTATGTTGTTTTATTCTGTTTTTCTCCCTACACAGAAGCGCTGCAGGTGCATGAGGTGACGATGTGTGTGAATCCTTATGTTTGTGCCACTATTTGCGCCCCCCGCACTGTGTGCCCGTCCGCTACGCCAATATGTGTTATTAGCTTCCTATTAAGTTACCATTGGAGAGATTGGGGTTGCTTTGAGCTAAATGTCATGAATACGTGATTTATTCCACAATATTCCTTGACTTGATCAGTAAAATGAATGTTTTTCATTTTCAATATTAAGTTCAATCGTGATCATGTAAGCAGGGGGGCCCGTCGAGTCGTTTGGGGGGGCATTGCCCCCCCACACCCCCCGATCATTCAGGGGTGCAAATCTGGCTTAAAATCAGGCTTAAAATCCTCTAGTGTGTGGTGAGCTTAAGTAAATGTGGTTGTCAATCTCAAACACTGACAGTGTGAACTTAACCTTTGATTAAAGTTTACAAGGACACGTGAATTAAAAAAAAAAGATTTGCACAGATAAGTAATTTATAATAAATACTGCAATACAAAAAAATAAAGGTGCTTAAATAGTTTTCTTCACCACGATGCCATAGAAGAACCATTTTTGGTTCCACAAAGAACCATTCAGTCAAAGGTTCATTAAAGAACGATCTCTTTCTTACCTTTCACCACAAAGAACCTTTTGTGAAACAGAAAGGTTCTTCAGATGTTAACGGTTCTTTATGGAATGATTTAGACAAAAAGGTTCTTTTATGGCATCATGAAGCACCTTTATTTTTAAGAGTGTATATTAAAAAAAAAAAAAAAAGGAATTGTTCATTCTGATTGCATGGTCAGTTGAGTGTTTTTTGCAGAAAGACTTACTTGGTAGTACATCTCAGGACATATATCTGAGTGACATGCAGCAAAGCTGCCGTTTGGGTTTGTGAGACGGGGGCATTCCCCCCCCACACCCCCCGATCATTCAGGGGTGCAAATCTGGCTTAAAATCAGGCTTAAAATCCTCTAGTGTGTGGTGAGCTTAAGTAAATGTGGTTGTCAATCTCAAACACTGACAGTGTGAACTTAACCTTTGATTAAAGTTTACAAGGACACGTGAATTAAAAAAAAAAGATTTGCACAGATAAGTAATTTATAATAAATACTGCAATACAAAAAAATAAAGGTGCTTAAATAGTTTTCTTCACCACGATGCCATAGAAGAACCATTTTTGGTTCCACAAAGAACCATTCAGTCAAAGGTTCATTAAAGAACGATCTCTTTCTTACCTTTCACCACAAAGAACCTTTTGTGAAACAGAAAGGTTCTTCAGATGTTAACGGTTCTTTATGGAATGATTTAGACAAAAAGGTTCTTTTATGGCATCATGAAGCACCTTTATTTTTAAGAGTGTATATTAAAAAAAAAAAAAAAAGGAATTGTTCATTCTGATTGCATGGTCAGTTGAGTGTTTTTTGCAGAAAGACTTACTTGGTAGTACATCTCAGGACATATATCTGAGTGACATGCAGCAAAGCTGCCGTTTGGGTTTGTGAGACGGGAACACCAGTCTTTTGCAAGTTGCTCTATGAGGAAAAACATCAGAGAAGATTTGCTTGCTTACTTTGTTTAGCGCAGCAATCTTTTTCTTCTGCTATGTCAAGAATGATCAAATTATCAACTGCAACATGGATATTGAGAGCATGTTAAGCACCTGTTTCTATATTCAAGCTGCAGGGGTTGTCAAATGTGATTTCAAGATCTGGGCAATTTTGTTTCCAAAAGTTGACAAAGGATGTTGGTGTGCCCTCTATGATGCCCGATGTTGTTTTAAAGTCATCTGATTGGATGTCGTTATAGTTCCCACACAGACCTGAGAGAAGCAAGATAAACAGTGGTTCAATTGATACACTTAAAATCAAAATTGTCTGGATTTGAGTCCATAACAATTAGCTTTGAGGCATCTATATGCTACAAATAAAAAAAAAAATATTCCAAACATTTAAAATCTGCAGTCTTTCTTTTCCAAAATGATTTTTTTTATAAACTCACCACTCATCTTCCCTTTCTCTTCAGTGCTGGCTACAATATACAACTGCATGACTGGAGCCAACTGGATCTCTAGACGAAGACTCTTCATTTCAGCAATGATGAAAGAGGAAGTGGGTTGGAAGATGCTCACAGGACCTGGGACAATAAAATGATTGAAAAAGGAAATTACTGATTTTTTTATTCTTCTTTTTTTAATAATGATGAAAAAGTAAGTTTCTTATATTTGACAACAAACCTGTGGTGAAAGGAAGCATGTATGAACCGATTCCATTCACTGCCACAGATCCACCAGAGGAAAAACTAATCTGTTTAACGAGTAAAACGTCAACAAAAAGACATTACTATTAATATGATTCTCGTAGTAGTAGTAGTAGTAGTAGCCAGTATAAGCATTATTGTTAGTAAGAATGATTAAAGAATAAAATTATTCAAACCCAATGCTTACAGTGGTCCCTGGAATGACAAGGGTAACTGAATTTAGACAAGTGTCTGCTCGGGCTGGATCACAATTTGCCAGATTTCCCACAACCGCAATGTCACTGTCATTAGAGTGCTTTAATTCAATAAAAGAAAGAAAAAAGGATTGTAAGAACCTTTATAATACCCACAGTTTTCTGATTGTAATATAAACCATGTGAATAAACATATAAGTGAAGGCTTTCATTTATCTCGCCCTGACAGAAAACATCTAAGGATTATCTGCTGTACTGACAGACCTTAGTAAGGATGTAGTCACAGTTGCCGCTGAAGGTGAAGGTCTTTCCATCATAAGTGGTGATGTGAGACCCTCCAACAACAGAGCAGATTCCGGGACATTCCAGGTATGTACAAGTCCAGTGTCCAGCGGCGCACACACTGACACGATACGGCAGCAGTGTTAGCACTGGGAAGGCTAATTTAAATGTGACTTTAGAATTGTAAAAAAGTTACCATTTTTTGCAAGCTTGTTTGTAAGACTCTCCTGATCGATATACTGTGCTGTCATGCAGACAAGGGCACTCGTTCACAGGAACGCAGCCACTCAGACCAATGTCGTCTTCCACGGTGCCTTTACAAAAAGAAGGCATGATACCATTTAATTTGGAAAAAAAATGGCTTTAATTGAACAGATTTAAATATGCAAGCACTTGACTTTGGATATTGTGTAAAAATTACCATTAGGGCAAAAACAGCCATCCAGACAGTGTTGTTTACACATTAGATTTGCATCTGGATCTGAGCAGGTGTTCTTGCACGGACTCCCACACTCCATGTATTGCAAGTTCAAAGGACACGTCTTTGCTGCTCCACAGAACAAGACATTGCATGCCACAAATGTATCAATAATGTTGCATTGTATTTTCTTCACAGTGGTCCTTTTAAAATAGTAAGAGATTGTTGTTTGTATAAATTTTTTAATACAACATGATTTCAAAGTCTTTATTTACTGTATTAATTTAGGTTATGGGTGAATTATTTGGGTAACTTTGTATTATTTATTTGCCGCCTTCGGACCTTGACACTATGAACTTCGCATGGCAACAGCTGCGTAGTGATTCTTCAAAAACTGTAGAATCGTACAGCATATTGCAACGTCATGGGGGTTAGAAAAAGGTAGTTAATTTTTTCTTGCCATCATTACTGATACTCACGACAGAGCTGTTCTGTCCTCCATGTTCCTGGTATTCCTCCAGCATGAGTGCACTGTCGTGAAATCTCTGTGAGCGTGTTGCAGAGACAGTTGTGATTGCCGTAACACTGACACAGGTCGTCTATACAGGCTTTTTCAAATGAACTCATGTCCATCACTCTGTAACAGTCAGCAAACCCTGGACTGCTGAGATACTGCTGGCAAACACTTGTCTAGGGTGGAAAAAAATAGATAATTTAAGAGGATTGTCTCATTGGAACCAATATTTCAATCTGTAAACAAGATTAAGCAATTTAATTTAAAATTTCCCATTGTTTTATTTCAAGAGTGCACCCAAGATTAGATTTTGTCTCATACTCTACCTGGTCACACTGATGAATGGGAGGAAGTGTAACGTCCTCACAGGTTTCAGTTGGTGTTGAAACTTTCCATGTGGCTGGCCCTAAGAAGGGTTCAGATAAACATATTACACTAAACCTTAGTGTTTAAAATAAGTATGTGTCGACAGGTCACTCAACTTGCTGTATTTAAATCTTTATATGAATATCTAATCATTAATGAGTTAAAAACACCATGTTTACCGCTAACAGTGATATCGTCATGCTTGTTGCCATTAAAGTCTCCACAGAGTCCACAGGTCAGACCTTTGTACTTCTCAGGAAGTTCAATCTGGGGAACATCATATAACAAAATAAGGTCAGAGGAGAGACTAACATGATTTTAAATCACTTTTTTCTATCTATCTATCTATCTATCTATCTATCTATCTATCTGTCTATCTGTCTGTATGTCTCTGTCTGTCTGTCTAACTGTTTGTTTATTTGACTAAAAACAATATTAACAAAGAATAAAAAAAAAATTAAAATACTAATTTGCAAAACCTGTTGGTTCACTGTTGCTTATTTAAGCATATTGCATGTTTGTCTTATGATGTGCAGCACTGATCAGAAGTCTGATCAGAAGTCTGAGATCAAGCTCAAAGATAAAATAATGTGTGCGTAAGTAATGAGATAAGTATAAGTATCGTGTAAGTAATGAGATAATATCGAATCATACTGCTAGAGAGTTGTCTTCTTCCCAGAAGACAGTCACTCCATGTTTGTTCGACATCTTGACACTTGTTGGACTTCCCTCAATTTTAATTCCATTCTTATAGGTCGGAACAGACACACTGTTGGAGCAATTAAAAAAAAAAAAAGAGTCAACATTAATAAAAAAAAAGAAAAAATAAAGAAAATAAAACATTTTTTTGTCTTGTTTTTCAGTAAAACATATTTTATTAAACTAAAATAAATTTGGTTGAAAACATTGTGTAAGATTCTAATATTGAACTAGGCTTATTTTTGTAACTCCACTGTTTGAATATTTGATTAGTTTAAAAGCATAAACTCTCGAAAAATTGTATTTATGCTAAAATAAACTAAAAACTAATATCTTGCACTTTTTTTCTTTTCAAATTCATCTTCTAAAGATATATTTAATATATAACAAAATAAATTATATATATATATATATATATACTGTGAATTACGTTACATTAATTATATATAATTAATATAAATACATAAATATTTATTACAACTGAATCCAAAGAAAAAATATTTTAAAAATTATTGTTTTCAAGGATGCACTTTTGCTGTAGTGTAGAAACTCACATTTCTTCCCCCATGGTGATGTCGCCATTAGTGATTTTGATGATTGTTCCCTCCAGCTTTATTGTGACTGTGCTAAAGGTGATTGAGCCATTCACAGTCTCTCTTTGCATTTGGATGTTAAAATCAGAAACCGTAATGTCACACATCACTGTCAGAACATAGTTGCACGTGTCTGGCACTTGAAAGAATTGACCATCAAAGGTCTTGAAGTGGAAATTTCCCCATGTGCTGCAGATCGTGGACTGATGATCAGGATTTGGTACAACTAAGCCGAGATAGAAAGGTTATAAACGTGATATGTACTAAATACTTTATTTGAGCAAACAGATGCTCAGACATACTAAGCAATGCTTTGATTGCGCCACAGCGCCATAGTGCTTATACTTTTGAGGGGGAAGAAATTTAGGAATAATTTGCAGTTAATTTATAGTGTAAAAAGTTACACACTTCATCTTTAAATCCACTGAAGTGTAAAATTTTAGTTTCAACATAAACAAAAATTGAAACATTAAATGTATGTAACATTAAAAAAGAAGAAAAAGAGGAAGAAGAAACTCCATACCCGTAGTTACTGGCACATTTGTCCTAGAGAACGCTGAGAACAGAAAAAGATGGACCTATAGTTATTTTTGCCACATAAATTAAAATTGAAACAAAGTTGGCTACATGTTTACAGATAGCTTACAATAATTCTACAATACTCTTTGTAAATCTAATAAAAAAAATAAAAAAAATCTTTGTTACATTGTAATGATTTGGCTGTTTGAATAATTAACCGATCAAAACCTGAACATATGCCCTGAGTTTAATGTTCCATTTTGAAATATATAAAACAATAGTTTTACGTGACATCTGTTAGTAAATTAGTTACTTTGTGAGATCTACTATTCACATTGATTCACAAAGAAACTATAAAGTATAATCCATAAACACAATAACTTATTCACCTGTTGTTGTTGTTGTTGGCCACATTTCATCCATTACTGCAAAATCATTCATGAAGTCTATAAACATAGAAAGACAGATATAGTCATATTATGTAGCTGATACTGTGCGTTTCTTGCAATAATTGATCATTTTGATTTTTCTAACCTGCTTGTATCAGCTGTAGCCCCACCAGTAGGGCGACCCATCTCAGCATCCACATCTGGGACATCCTCACAGCCCCCATGGAGAGAACAACCATCCTCAAGAGCTAATGTGGGCTATCTGTCATGACTTGCTCTTTTATACTAGGTCTTAGTTTGCTTTGGGACCATCTATTCTGTGGTCAGAAGGTGGATCCCAGGCTTAGCCATTATTGATATTTTTCCATTTAGTCTAGCTGTGTTTGAAGATTAAACATGTTCTGTCACTCACAACATAGTGTTTATCTCTGTTATCATCTCAAGGTAAACAAGGATGTGATGGTTGATTTTGATCCTAACTTGGAGGTTCATACAATTTTTAGAGAAATTACATGACACGCTGTAAAATACACACCCTAAAAGTCTACCTTGATGATCAGGTTTTTTTTTTTTTTTTTTGCATTTCCATTTAAAGCTTTTGAGAGACCTTGTGCTTTTTATAGGTTATAATGTTATCTTTTTTTTAAGAGATACTTTGATGGAAAACATTTACTTACACTGCACCAACAAACGACCTATTCTAATATTTATGTCTATATCTAATATGTATTTATCAACACCAAGTGGCTTCAATGTCTTATCAACTTTATAGCTTCAAAAATAATAATCATATTTTCGTAGCTTTTCTGTGTTACTTAACCTGTAAAACTAACCAGCAAGAATGTTATTATTAATAGTCATATTTCCAGATCATTAGTCATCAGTTCTTCTGTAAACACAGAAGGTGTTGTGAGGACCGCAGACACAGAGGTGCAGCTAGAGTTGCTGTTGAAAAGCAGCTTTCTATAAGAGATATTTCTCATGTCTGTGTGTCAAGTATTCACTGAGTTTTGGTTCATTTTTGTTATGCGTTTCAGAAAGAAGTTCACAGAGACTGAGACAGCAGAAAGAACACCTTGTATGTTTTCTTTATGTTACAAAAGCACAGAATTTTGTTGTTATTATGAGTGTATACAAATAAAATTAGACCCTTTACAGATTCAAATTATGTATTGATTTTATCTGTATGATCAAAAATTACTTTTAATAAATGTGAGTAATTTAAGTTCTTTTCAGTGTTATCAGGAAAAAATGTCACAAAATGCACTGGTGCATTGATGTGTAGTTTAATAATTATCATTATTTGTGGGAAGTTAAAAATGTATTTATTTATTTTTTACAAACCCCCTGCTTTTCGATCCACAAGATGTTAATTGATGGACTGGAGTCATATAGATTGCTTGTGGATTATTGTGATGTTTTTATCAGCTGTTTGGACAATAATTACACGGCTCTTGGACATGACAATTTAATTTGTTTTTTGAACATTTTTCTGTAATAATCTAAACTAAGACCATGCGTGGATAATTGTTTCAAGAGAATTGTGTCAACAGAATGTGCAAAATTGACTGAGGAAAACTGTACCTTTCATTCGGTCGATGACAGTGACTTCTTATTAGGGATAGGCGATACCCCTTATTTTGTTTTCGATACGATACCGATATTTTTTTAATAATTATCATTATTTGTGGGAAGTTAAAAATGTATTTATTTATTTTTTACAAACCCCCTGCTTTTCGATCCACAAGATGTTAATTGATGGACTGGAGTCATATAGATTGCTTGTGGATTATTGTGATGTTTTTATCAGCTGTTTGGACAATCATTCTGATGGCACCCATTCACTGCAGAGCATCCATTGGTGAGCAAGTGATGTACAGTAATGGTACATTTTTCCAGATATGTTTCATATGAAGAAACAAACACATCTACATCTTGGATGGCCTGAGGGTGAGTAAATGTTTTAAATATTTCTGTCATCACAAGCATTGTTTGCTTGTTGGTTACATGGCTGCCAAAAAAAAGGGTGCTATTATTTTCTTTCTTTCTTTTTTTTTTAATATAATGTACATTTATAATAATTTGTGTTTTATAACTTTGGCATTAAATGACAGAAAACTGGTTAACGCTGATGTGTGTGTTGAGTGACTGACGACAAATTTGACATCTTTCTCTCTTCTTACCTGTAATAAATCTCTCAATATTTTATTCCTCTTTTGGAAAGTCATATAAATGCTATCATAGGAAAGTTTGAACAGGGACTTTTTTCGGCTCTTTGTGTTGTTGTTATCATTGATGTCAAAATTTGATGTGGTGCACAAATCGCTGACTTTGATCACTTCAAAATTTAATCTAGGCTACAATACAAGCCACCAATACAAAAACGTTTATAAGCTAACCCAAACATTTATAGAACCATCATTTGATCCAGTAGCACAGTAGAGGCGTGTATACTATAAACCTGTCTCAGTCTGTTTGACATGCTTGAAACCTAATTCTCTGAAACCTGTCACGATTGATTGAGGATATCATTTTTGTTTGTCTTTGCCTCCAGTATAGACGTTTGAATATTTAAACATTTCCTTTCCATTACCTTGTTGATTCTCTTTTAGCGTGCTATTTATATTTAAAGTGATGTAAGGGTATTAAATTCTGAGACTCTCTGAATGCATATAACAATTTACCTTTGCCTATTTTAAATTACATTTAAAAAACAACAGTGTAGGCCTACCTATACTGTAGGTTCAAGCAAAAGGGAAAGATTGTTTTATTTAAAAGCTACAAAGTAGACAAAAGTGGCATGCATTTATGGCACAAACCCCCACAAAGATTATGAAAGTGTCAATAGTGACTCATAAAAATGTTTTCTGCCTTCCGAGAAGGTACAGTACTTCCTTCAGGAAATGCAAATCTAAAAAATAAGTTATTATTATTCAATCAATTATAAAGAAAGATGTTTAAACTCTCAAATGTTTGATTTGTTTGATTCCACATATATTCAACTTGAGGATGAATAAATGAATTAATTTTCATTGTTTGGGTAAAATGACTCATCTTGCCAATCCAAAACTCATACCACCATATTACACATTTAGAGTGTAAATTCTGGCTTAGTGCGTCATGCTGTAGTGTGTATCTTCATCGTCACAGTTTTGTCAGAACTCACATCCTTGTTTGGTTTGAGATGATATCTGCAATGAATGTGCGTAACTGAAAGTTTTTTTCCCCATCAGGATTTCTATAAATTTTTCTTCAAACATCCCTAGAACATTATGTTGATTCAACTGAAAGATAGTAATAGCGCGCTTAAGCCTGGTTTCCACCTTCTGATCAGACTACATTGCCTCAAAGACACTATAAAAGAGCAAGTGCTCAGACTGCTTGTGAGATCTATTATTATCTGTGGGTAGCTCAAGCTTTTGAGGATGGATGTTGTCTCCATGATGAAAGCGTGACCTCGGACAAAGTGAGTCTACTTCAAGCAGTAGAAGGAGCCTGAGCCTCCAGAGATTCTGATGGTATGAATTCAGCATTTACACTTACAAGCTTGAGAAATGTGATATGGATGAAAATCTCAAATAACTCAAACATTTATGTTTTTTTTTCTGTCCTCTGATAAGCATTGTTCATGGCTGCCATTCCCAAAAGCTTTAATGCTTTCTTATAATACTTTTGGGAAACGCAGCCCTGTTTGAATGCACTGTCAGCAGTGAGTGAATGCCCTCTGTGATTGATTGGTTCTGTCTTGCAACATTTGCGTGTGTTCAGATGAGCAGGAAATCCTACACATCCTACACAATTACTCGCTAACAAAGGTTATTCGTCCAGTTCAATGCATATTGTACGCATTATTATTATTATTATTTTTGTTAAATAAACAAAACCACTGGTAACGAATTGGAATGACGAATTTGATACTTTTTGAGTATCGATACTTTCGATACTCGCGTCAGTATCGATATATCAATACTTCGAATCGATACGCCCATCCCTACTTCTATGGTGAGATGTAGGTACTGCAGAGGATGACGTTACTGACGCTGGAGATTACGTTTATGTATGCTATTCTAAATAGTTTAAAATGATAAATTAAGATACCAATAAAAAAAAATATCTTGCGTAAAATATGCAGTCAGAATGACTTTCTCCACAGTTTATACAACAATGCTTTGTAGTATCAATCATGCCCTCCGTTGCCAGATATGAGGTCACCGAGGGCCGGACCTCGGTAAATTTTTCATGTTGAGAAATAAAATTTGTTCTCTGAATGACGAATTTGCTATTTAGAACTCCTCATATGAGTGTATGCATGTTTAGACAGTTTGCAAGAATGTTTAGCGCCCGTGGTAAGAAAATGATTGTTGCCAGACGCCTGCAGAGTGAACGAGGCTTGAGAGAGTTGTGAGTGAGGGACTCGTCTTTTCCACTGTTGACACTTTAGAAATTGAACAAAGTGGGAAGTTGTAGTTTAGGTTTAGCGATATATTTATCTTATTTTCCAAATATTTGATATATATATATATTAAGGTTTTTATTTGTTTTCATAGCAATATCTGGCAACACTGATCGCCGGTGTTGTGCCGAATTCTGCACCCCTGCCAGATTATGCACCCCCCCAGAGCCGTAGAGAGAGAGAGTTGCGACAACTCTGTTCACTCCAATGGACCAGTTGTTTACAGCAATGGCGGATCGTGGAGCCGCTCAATAGTTCCCGGATGTTAGCGCTCATACTATCAGCGCCGTAGAGATGCAGCAGAAGAGACCGCTGTGACGATCTTCTGCAGTCATGTCTTCTTCCCTGAGAGACACTCTTTTATTGTTTCGGTAAACGACGTACTGCTCCATGTCCATGTACTGTATCACGTCACAGCTCCGCTAGTACATGTACCAGAGCCATAGAGAGAGAGAGTTGCGACAACTCTGTTCACTCCAATGGACCAGTTGTTTACAGCAATGGCGGATCGTGGAGCCGCTCAATAGTTCCCGGATGTTAGCGCTCATACTATCAGCGCCGTAGATCCCTCCTCGCCGCATCAGTAGGGAAACCATACATTCATACTTCTTTCTGTGAGTGACTGGAGCATTCCCATGCAGCACAGCAAATCATGGTGGAGACTATACAATAACAACATGCTTTTCAGTTGATTATACAACAACTGAATGAATCCATTGCTGTAAATAAGTGCATAACAAAAGTCAACATACATAAAATATATGATTAAATGTGTAAAAATGTTTT